AATAAGTATTATAAAGAAAACTTTTTGTTATAATGTAGAGATTAGGCAGATAAATTTTTCGGGATAAGAAAAACTTTTCTGAATCTCAATTATTTAAAATATTTCTCATTTAACTTTAAATATTTAAGTTTTCTATTTCTTGCATTGATATAGTTTAAGTTCAGGAAGAAAAGTATTGTATTTGAAGAAAATCTTGTTTGTATCACCTCGTAGTTGTATAAAAGAAAACCGAATGCGCCATTCATTTAAGTTTTTAATTGCTGTAAGTGCTAATTATACATACATGTATATTCCTAGAAAATTTGTATAGAAATGTGTTACAGAAGTATACATATATATTATATTAACTCCGTTGAAATTAATATAAAATTAAAATGATATTTAGTGCCTATATATTCTATTAAGTCGTTACGAATGGAAACTGCACTAAAATACTGCAGAATGTTTGAATTACGGCACTTATTTTCAGTTTTTTCTAAGAGGAGTCTGCAAACCTCAAACGACTTAAGTTTTACGTTAATCCGTCAATGTGTCATTCAATTCGGTTGACCCTATATAAGAGAAATCGTTATTTTGCCCTTAACAATCTTCACGAATACTCGTTTCGCTCACTGTATCCCGACTTATTTGAAAACACTCGGCGAGTGACGGATTATTCAAAGAAAGATATGCCCGATGCCTGGATTTCATAGGATTCCACGAATCCTCGGAGTACGCGACAGACGCAGAAGACATTGACATGCCACAAGGGTCGCGGAACCGCAGGAATCGCAGGGGTCGAAACAAGAGGCGGTTCCAGCGGCCCGAAAAATCTGTGAACGTGCCCGAGTCACAGCCGGAAGTCGTGGAAGCTCGCGAGGATGCGTCAACGGACGAGAGACTAGAGAAAACGATCGAAATCGAGCCGGAGAATGGCGAAACGACGTGCCCGCAGGAAACGGTGTCGAGAAGCTGGCGGGAGGAGAGGCAGAGAATCGAAAAGGTGACCTTGAACTCGGACGTCAGGGTGTTCGAAGTGAAGACAATTAGCAGCCTGCCTCTGTCAGCGACGATCGATCACATTGCTGGTGTTGGTATTTTGGAAGTTGGCGGGAAGGATAGATTGGAGGATGCGGTGACGGTGTCGGAACCGTTCGAGCCGTTCTCAGTGAGACGGCGAAAGGACGAGAGGTTGCAGATTCACGATGTCAGTGACAGCGACGTGGAGACTGATAGCGTCAGACCGGTGATCGTGGAGGCGGAAACGGATTCGGAGGATCCGAAACGCACCTGGGACAGCGTGATGCCCAAAGACGTGGAAAGGAAGCTGAGAAGCTTCATTGAGAACCTGAAATTGCCCTCACACACTGAGGAAGAGTCGTGTAAGCAGGAAAAGACGGGCTCGACGTACAAGAAAGTTCGGAAACGCGGGAATTACGAGCACTACCAAGCGAACAGGTTTCTAGACATCATACAGGAGGAGGTGGAGAAGCTGTCGGAAGACGAGGAACAGCATATCAGGGACTTCATTAACGAAGAGATTGGCAAATACCGGCGGGAGGAGCGTCGGACTAATGGGAAACACTGGAACTTGGAGGAAGAAGAAGAGGACGAAGAAGACGGGGAAGAATCGCAAATTGCTAGCGGGACAAGGGAGCCCGCGGAGCCAGGTGTATTAGAACCTCGGGAAACTGCTGATGAGACGTTGAACGGCGACATAGTTGCATCGAGAAAAATGGGAAAGAATTTTAACGAACCGCTACGATCGGAAAAAGAACACGAGTCCATGGCAAAATGGGAAAGTCACACCGTGACGATCAATGTAGTTGATACGGACAGCGAAACGTCGGTTGACAAAACTGCTGAAGAGTCGCATGTTGACAGTAAAGAAAACGAAGAAACGAGTGCAGCTATAGTAAATTGCGGGAAGATTAACGATGCGAGCCTGGAAAACGAAGAAGCGAGGTTGAATAACACGGAGGAGAAGTTTAACGAGCAATTAGAATTGGATGAAGTGGAGGCATCGAGGATCGAAGTCGAGAGGAAGGAACACATTGTGGAAGTAAATGTGATTGCTGTGGAAAATGAAGAATCGATCGAAAAACTTGTAGAAGTATCAACTATTAATAACGTAACGAATGAGGATTTAAAGGTAAAGGAATCGAACAGCGGAAAACGCACTGATGAAGTCAAGGAAAACAAAGAAATTGAGTTAAATAGCAGCGAGGAAAAATTGGACGAAAGATTAGAGTTAAAAGAGCAGGAAGAATCGAATTCTCAATTCGAACAATCTATGGAAGTGAGTGTAATTGGCATGGAAAATGTAGAATCAGTCGACGAAACGGCGAAGGCTGCGCCTACGAACGAAGACTTTCAAGCAGATTTGGAAGCAACGGATTCAGAGGAAGAAAAATTGGAAGATACGGAGCTTGGTTTGGGGGAAAAGAGTTTGCAAAATGGTGAAAAGATAGAACTTGAAGAATTGAAGACGAATAACGAAGAAGATATAGACGAACAAATGAAAGTAGAAAAGAAGGATGAAGTGAAATCTGAGCCGATTAAAAAAGTGGATCTTAATGAGGACGGAAATATGATTGAAGTAGAAGACACAAAATCGACTGACGAGAAGCTTGGCGATGAGAAAATGGTAGAATCACAGTTAGTTGATGAAATAAAAGATAATGTACAAATGGAAGTATCAGAATCGAAGGACACTAATCAAGTATGCACGGACACTAATTTATTGCAAAATGAATCTACATTGATACCGACGTCGGAAGCAACATTCAACGAGGGATTAAAATGTAATGAGCCAGAATTATCTGGCCCTGCCACTGCGGCAGGTGATCAATTAGCAACACAATCGGAAATAGAATTAAACGAAGAATTAAACTCGAATAATAATCAAACTGTTTGTAACTGTGAATCAATAGAAGCAAAAGTAGAACCGTTAGTGTCACCGATATGTGAAAATGATATCGCAGACAAGATGTTGGAGTCTCCATCACCTGTAGAGGTCGATAAATTGTCTTCGATGGCTGAGAAAGAGGAAAATTGCGAGTCCGAATTGAACGATTTGACAGTGACAAAGGAGCGACGACCCCCGACGCCGCCGAAGAGGTCGTCTAGCCTTTCGGACGTCGATTTTCAGAACAAATTTCGGAATCCATCGATGCCTCCAGTTCGACGAACAATTTCAGCGGACCCTCCACCTACTCGACCTCCTCTGCCAAAGGAGAGTCTGGCAATCGGCGAGGCGCTGAGCATCGTCAGAGGTTTATTGACTGATATATCGGACAGTGACGTGACCGTCGAGAATATTCACGACGTACTGAGCAAGGTGGACGCGTCTACGCTACCTAAGCAACTTCGCGAAATCATTGATGATCTAAGGGCCCGCGGGATTCGAAATTTCCAAAGTGACAGTACCACTACATTGCGTAACTATTTTGAAAGACTTGGCAATGGATTGAGTCCTGAAATAACGCGTGACCGGTTACCCGAAAACTCGCGCGAAAAATGGCTGTTGCACGAGTCGCCGACGATACCTTGCGCCGAACGAGCAGCGATGGCTGAAAAACCTGAAGAGAATCACATAGAGCGGTTGTCTAGCACGGAGAACGGGACCAGCGAAGCAAACGGTCCGCGGGACAGCGACGAAGAGTTCGAGGAAATCTACAACAATACGTGCGACCAACAAGCAGAAGTTCGAGACTCGTCCAGCAGTGCGACTTCTCTCAGCACGGTGAAGTACAATCCCGCGGACGCCTGGCAGACGGACATCTGCTCGATAATAGCCGAGGAAGCGCGGAAAAGTAGACAGAAGGACTTAGACTGCTCCACTTTGAAAAGCAAACTTTCTCTGCTGAAAGCTGACGATTCAAACACTTTAAATGGAAAGGACGTGTCTCCGGAACCAATACCGTATTCGCCCGTGGAGGACCTGTACTACGTCCCACTGGACTCGGGCGACGGTTCAGATCGAAAGCCCTTGGCAAATAGCTCCGCGCCAGAGTCCTTGATCAACCTCTGCATAAAAAGGCTGCTGTCGATGCCCTATGGCTTGCAAATAATCAACGAGATAACAGTGCCCAAATTTAACATCTTTAAAAGCCTGCGCTCTATCCCCAGTGTGCTCTCACCCGAGACGGCTAGACTAACACCTGATCCGTGGAAACCTGCTGTTTCAGAGCCAAAGAAACTAGACTCGATGGATAAAGTCGTTTCAGAGAACTGGCTGGGCCTGTACACCGTAAAGGACCCCAGGCTTCTCGTCTGCCTATCGCCGTCCCAGCAAAAGGCAGCGATTAAGACTAGCCCGGATAACTTGCTGAATCTTCACGCGAAGTTCCTCAACAGGCACAGGTACTGCGAGAACGAGCCGCCCCATGTCGCTGTCCCGAAGTACAGGATCGAGGTGAAGAAGCCTGAAACGGCTGATAGGCCGACTAGGCTGCTAGAGATTCTGAAGGAGAACTCGAACCAGCCGAGAGGGACGGTCGAGGACCGTTCGAAGCGGTCGGAGTGCGACAGAAGTCAGCGTCTGAAGGTCACCCAGCTTCGCGACTGGCTGAACCTAGCACGGCGCGATATCTCTAGCCATGCTTCCCTCTCCGACGATTTGCTCATAGAACCGTCGGGTGAGGGAGTCCAGACCGATAAGCGCGATATCAGTCGGCCGAATACAACGAAAGTGAACAGTCTCAACTTGAATTCGCCAGAAAGAAGCTCGTCGCCATTCCGGCGAAGTCCCATTACATTGAATAGCGCGATCATAGACAAAACGCCCGGCATGCCGGACACCGGCGGGAAGAAGACACATCGCAGACCTGTAGAGCCGCGTCACGGCATCAACCCGGCGCTGATCGACGACAGGGTGGTGCCACCGGCGCCGGTAAAGCGCGTGGTGAATGTCGACAGGTCCTGCATCGACACGACCAGCATCTTCGACCAGAGTCCGGCCAGGAATCACCTGGAGCCAAGGAAATACAAAGTCGACGATGATCTAAAACACGAGACTGCTGCGGAGATCCTGGAGAGCTTGAAGAAGCTTCAGGCGGAGGATTCCAACAAGCCTTACTTGTCTCGAGACTATTTGGTACAGCAGTTGAGGTACATAGAACTGTTGGAGAATCAGCTGAAGAACGTTATATTGGCCGAGGAGGAGGAGAAGGAAGCGTTCGAGGACTTTGAGACGTTGAAGAAGGCACAAGAGAATCGCGGTGCCTCGAAAGATGGCGGTGATGAGACCCAAAGTGAAAGTCGATGTGGAAGGGACACAGAGAAAAATGGTTCAGAGATGATCGACAAGCGCGAACAGAGAGACTCGACGAAAACGGTTCTTCAGAGAGATGGATTTCGCGAGGAGGAGTCCAGCGAGAAGATCGAAAGCTTGCTGGTTACCAGGAAAGAGAACAGAGGCAGCGATACGAAGAATGAAACTCGGAAGAGTAGCAAGCAGGTGCAAGAGAATCGCGGTGCCTCGAAAGATGGCGGTGATAAGACTCAAAAGGAAAGTCGATTTGGAAAGGACGCAGAGAAAGATGACTCAGAGGTGATCGACAAGCGTGAACAGAGAGATTCGACAAAGAAGGTTCTTCAGGGAGACGGATTTCGCGAAGAGGAGTCCAGCGAGCAGATCGAAAGCTTGCTGGTTACCAGGAAAGAGAACAGAGGCAGCGATACGAACAATGAAACTTGGAAGAACAGCAAGAAGATGCAGGAGAATCGCGGTGCCTCGAAAGATGACGGTGATAAGACTCGAAGTGAAAGTCGATGTAGAAAAGACGCAAAGAAAGGTGACTCGGAGGTGATCGACAAGCATGAACAGAGAGACTCGACGAAAAAGGTCCTTCAGGGAGACGGATTTCGCGAGGAGGAGTCCAGCGAGCAGATCGAAAGCTTCCTGGTTACCAGGAAAGAAAACAGAGGCAGCGAAACGAAGAATGAAACTCGGAAGAGCAGCAAGGTCGAAAACTCGGAGTCCTTCCGCCAGCAAATGTACGAGGAGTACGTGCACAAGGTTCTCGAGAGAGAAGAGAGAAAGCTTCACAAGGTGGTCAAAATAAGCACCCACGAGGACATTCAAAGGTCCAATGATAAATTGGGAAAGAACGGTACCAACGTCGAGAACGAATTCATTGAGAAGGCAAGGAACAGGCTGAACAAGTTTGGCATCCACCTGGACGAGAGCGAACCGGAAGTCGAGAATGATTCTGAGACGGAAAAGCAAGTTAAGAAGAAGTGTCTAATCGATGGCAAGGAATTCGAGGACGCGGGAAAATTGCCGAAGCATCTGCAAGAGTTCCTCAAGATGTCCGACGACGGTGAGTCCCATCGAACCGAGGATTGCTGTGTTGTTGATCGGTGTTGAGATTGAACGCTGCCAATTTGAATCCTTCGTTTGAGTGTCCGAGTGTCGAGGCTGACTTGAGAACTTGGATCGATCGCTACTGGGATAGAATTGAGTATGTAACAGCCACTAACAGGCGCATTCGTTGATATATCGTGTGTTGCATTCTAGCTGAAAATAATTTCTCTCGTGAATTTTACTTTCGTCGCTTCGATTATACGTATCAATTTATTCACAGCTGTAATAGTAAATTATGGATATTTCGAAAGAAGAATTATTTTAGAATTGAATACTTAATAAGTTGAGTACCGCGACAATCACGCATGGGTAACAATAATTTTTGACTAATTTACAAAATTCATTTTTTATAGCAATATATTCGAACAAACTGAATTTTACTTAGATGTTTAGAATGCAAAAGAGTTAAAGTATCATCCGCAATGATAAATTTTATCATATTGATTTTAGTTTCATTAGGGTAGTGAATTCGGTTATTGTAGAGTGATCAATTGCAGAGCCTGTGGTTTGTTATCGGGTACAATTAGCTATGTATTTATCGAATAAGACATATTAAATTCTTGTATTAACAAATACACAAAATATAAGATAAGCAATATAAAGGATAAACAATTTTAATCTATCTTATTCGATAACTACAAAGTTAATTATGCTCGAAAACAAACCAAAGGCACACCAATTGGTCACCCCACAGTAATCTCCTCCACTACCCTGATTAAATTATTTCGATTTTATGAGGATTTTTGGGACTGATTTTCGGTACTTGATGTGTGAAATTCGAATTTACAGTAAACAATAAGATGAATTTTAGTTTGGATTCTTGAATGCCACTGAAAATTGCTAAGAATTCAATTTGTAAACAAACGTTTTCTGTAGGAATAGATTGTAATCTTTGTATGGTCTGGTTACAATACTATTTAAATTTGCACTATTTAATTAGATGCAACGCGAGGAAAGTAAAATTTATGGTAATAGAGGTGTGTGCTAGTTTTTATCTTGAAACATAGATGTCTCGTGTTTGTCGTTACTAACTACACCGAATGAATAAAATTAACTGTGACATGATTTACTGCCAGTATAATGTAAACATTAGGAGATAAGTATTGTCAACTTTTACGGAGATCATAGGTTATCGATGCACGAGTAGGACAACAAAAATGATTGACTGGAGCCAAGATATTTGAATTATTAGAAGCGATTGATCATCATTTCGTAGCATTCAGTTAATATTCTCTATGTAGTATACATATTCATGATATTGAAAAATACTGGTTACTTTATAGTTTTTTAATATTTCATACTCTTAAATAAGTGTTATACGATATAAATTAGAATAGCTTTGTTAGAAAGTGGCAAATTTCACTGATCGGTATATTTTATTTTGGTGCTGTAAACGAAAATTATCAATAACAATATTGCAGGGTTTTTAAGAAAATATTTGTTATGATAGTCGAATTATTAACTAAATCAAAATTAAAATCAATAGAAATCATTACGTATGTTTCTATTAAAATTTTAATAAATGCACTTACACTTGCCGATGAAAGT